CCTAACCCTAACCCTAACCCTAACCCTAACCCTAACCTAACCCTAAGTTCTCGGGAACACAAACATGTTCTCTAGACGCAAACATGTTCTCTCGGGAACACAAACATGTTTTTTCTACGCAAACATTTTCTCTCGGTGTTCGTACCAGAAACCATGCTGCACGACCGCCGTGGAAGGAGAGAGGAAGAGGTGAGAGGCTGTCTCACTTGGTTACCTCCGCACCCATCGCGATCACGCGACTTCCGCGGACGCCGCGGCTATGAGAGAGGCGCGCATGCTTGCGCGTTTTTCGAGATTCGACAGCCGTATATACAGAGAGTGCACAAGAGACGAAGGCTATACACAGTCATGCGGAGAGAAGAATGGAAGATGTGAGCGTGAATCAAGATGTGCGAAACGCGAGAGCATGGAGGCCTGTGATGTGGAATGGGATTTGTACGGTGTAAGCGAGTGCGAGCGACGGAGCGGTGATGTAGACTAGGATACAATCAAGAAAACAGATATCAAGAGCGGGAAAGCGGACAAAGCAAGATATACGAACGGATCACTGTTGGCGACGGCATAGAACGAACATGACGATCGCGTTCAAGATCATGACCAGCCAGTGAATGAAGTCGCCAAACGGCCCTCCCTCTTCCTGCGCGGCGGCGGCACCGACATCGTTCTCGACGGGTTCAGCGAGTGCGTTCTGTCCCGCAGCTTCACCAGCGTTCTGCGCCTGAAGCAGGTGTTCGCCAGGACCGGGCGCGATGGGGCCGGGCGCGCCGTTGAGCGGGGCTACATTGAGCGGGACTGCGTTGTTCGTGCCCGGAGCCTGGGCAATATGAGGCCGCGGGGGTGGATGCGTTGGCGCGCGAGGTATAGCTTCCCCTCGGAGAATAGCGAGTCGACTCAAAGCGCCCTCAGTGCTCGTATACAGCGCTATGGCGAGATAAGTAGGTGGAAAGTCGCGGAAGAAGCGACACGACGCACAGCGGACGGTTTCATCGGCATTGTCAAATAGCTCGGCGGGTACGTGCTCATTGACCATCTTCTGCGCGTATTGTTGGGCGGATTTGGCTGTAGAAAGCCGACGAACGACGAATACGAGTGAGGAGCGGCGGTGGAGGCAGCGGCGGGTCAGCGTCGAGCGGGCGGATGATGAACGTCGAGCGACAAGCAGCCGACGAGCGAGATGTGACCGCTAATAATTCGAGATAGACAGTGAGTTCCCGCTCTGAGTATTTGCAGGTTAAAGCCGCGACGCTAGGACTAGACGGGCAGAGGTTCCAGTCGCAGAGTGCGAGAGCGCGATGGTGGGAGAAGGAGAAGTGCGGTCCACGGTCTGCGACCGGCAGCCCTCGCCTCGCGTCGTCTCGTACGCCATCAGGACGTTCCCCATCGAAGATACGAAAAGTTGACCTCTTTCGAGGTCAACCGTAGGGATGCTTGAAGCCGGAGTCTGCATGCTCAGCGAGGAATAAGGATCCGTACATGATGGACAGTGGCCGGGCATTGTTGCTCGACGCAACCCGCGCGAGGTTGACAGGCGCAGCAGTCGTAGACGCAGAGAGCCCACGGGGTCCACTCAGACCCCCAAGTAACTCAGTCGATTTCGGCGATCCTAAGTTCACACGCGCGGCTGAGTGCAAAACGTGCTGGGTTCTCGAGCGCGCCTGCATCGCCCGGCTGTGGGTAGATGTTGGGCGGTGTTCGGCCGGGATCGAGCTGTCAGATCTGCACATAGATTCAGGTTCGTACGGACAGGCGCACAACGTGACGTACGCACCCAGAGACCGTTGCACTCAGCGTCGGTGACGGGGGAAAATCGCTCACTTCGCGAGGTCAGGCAGATATGCATTCATTATATTTATCGTAGCGTACAACATCAACGCATCCGAAGTGCTCAGACCTTTCAGACTGCATGAAGGGGTATGCCAGGGGAGCTTTGGATGTGAGGGATGAGTAGTAGAGTAATGCGCGCCTATTAGTCGCATGGTTCGAAAATCCATCAGCATGGGCTACACCGCTGCCGCCATGCACTCCTTCCGGGTAGCCTGACGGTCGCCCCTTCCATCTCGTTTAACTCCCAGCTCGGCCAGCGCTCTATGGGGGCGGTGAGGCGAGGCGTGTATAGCCAGGGCCATACACCAAGCTCATTTCAAATCAGTGGATGACAAGAAGCGGACGGAGCGCCCAAGGTCTTTAAGGTTGGCCGTGCGGGCGCCAACATTGGTACGAGATGGCTCGCACGCACAGCAACGTAGTCCAATGGCAGTAGTCTTCAATTCAACCATGTCGTTATGGTTATCCGAAGACCACGGCCACCATGGAAGATGATGAATCTAATGAAACGCCCGCCCGGGGTTCATGTCGCCGATGATGGCTGCAGCCAGCTCGGATGCACCAAGGAACAAGGTCACCACCGCGAGAAACGAGAGCCCTTAGCAGGTAGATAGCAGACGTAGGTAGTTTCTGAAGGCCGAGCGGGAGAGGCGAGACGCCGGGTTCGCAGCTTCGCCAAGAACCGCGCTGCCTTGCATAGCGGCGCCGATGCCGACCGGCCTGCTGAGATCGAGCACCGCCCGTCTCTTGAAGGGCCGCTATATGGCCTCGACGGTACGTAGCGCGCTGTCCAAAGCGCCGACGCGCTCATGACGTAGTTGATCTCGGTACCGTGACGCGGGCGCCGGAGAAGCCGATTTCCCGGCCCGGGGACCCGAGGGGCGTGCTCGACGGTGAGCTTGCTCTCTTGGGACTGTAGCGCCGCACTCCGCTGTCTTGCGTTTCGCCACCCTATCCATAGCGCCCTTCCATTTCTCCTTCGTCCACGGCAAGCCCTTCGTGTTCCTCTCCTATCCATGATGATGCGCGCGACGCGACGCTGAGTTGGTGGTGGCATGGCGCTAAGATCCAGAGAGACGCCCACAGGTCCGAAGGGACACAGGCGTAGCAGAGCGAAGACGCCCGACGCATATCCCGAGTGGAAAAGGGGGCGGCGCAGCGGAATTGGGTTGTGCGGTGACGACCTTGTGTTCACCGGCGTCGCTCGGCGAGAATAGCTGCTCCAACGTCGACGACATGCTCAGAAGTCCTGCGGGAGTATGCGCTACTTGACGAGTCTTCGCTAGAGACCGGCGCTTCGCCCGTGCCGAGCAGACCTTCATGCGAAAAAGCGAGTCCGTCTACGTATATAGACGCAAGTCAGCTACATAAGCTTATGAATGCGAAAGAGCCGAGCACTCACCAAGGGAAGACATTCAGAGTGCGCGCATCCAGGTTCAAATGCGCGGGAGATAGACCCAGAGTCGCCAGCGTAGATAGACGGCGTATCCATGAGTGAGGTTCGGACCCAGGCAGAATAGAAGATAAATAGAGTAGACCGAAAGAGGGCATGCACCGTGCAAGACAGTAGAACACGAGAGCGAAAGCGAAAGCGAAAGCGAAAGCGAAAGCGAAAGCGAAAGAAAAAGTGGAAGCGTAGACTGAAAGACAAGTCGTCAACCGAACGAGCTCGGTTCGTCCAATAGCGGAGACCACCTCCGGATCTGGAAGCTCATGGCGACTCCACGATACTCGCGCACGCAAAGCTAGGCTACCCGGGACGGCCGAATGGCCGCCCAGGTAAGCAAGGCCTCTTGTGCGCTGTGGAGGCGTCGTGGTGGTGGTCAAGCGGAGGGTGCTATCCTCGAGCTTCGTAAGAATCGCAACCCACGTGCTCGTGTTCAAGCGCGCTCATCAGGATGAATATCCTCAAGTTCTTGACACCGATCGCGCATTCCTCATATCGACGTTCAGTATGGACAACACTCGGCTTGGTGTCAGGTACTGCAGTCCACCTGACGACTTGAATGAGTTCTTGAGCTCTGTTGTCTCCTGCGCATATACAAGCAGTGGTACAATTCGTAGTCCGGGGGCACGTACCGGTGCTGCTGACTATACCATCTGACTGGTATGTGGTAACGGCGCATTGTAGCGCAGCTATCTAGGATGTCGTAGCGCAGGAACGCAAAGCTCTAGTAAATTAGACGCTATATCGTGATATAGTGACTCTGCACGCAATGGCAGCCAAAACTTCCTACAAACGAGAAGCTTCTATACTTGTCGCTTGAGATATCCGGTGGACACCCCGCGCTGTACTTCCGCTAGCCCCTTCTGTGCCTCCTTCGACTGTATGCGGGCATCGACGATCATATGTCTTGCACAGGCCCGTTTATGCACACTCTTCCAGTTCCTACAAGGAATTCAGCTGACGTGTCGCGCTACTCGCTAAGATCAAAGCAGACCTTATCTGACACTCACTGCCGCAGTACACGGAGCGTTTACAGGCTGAGCATCGCCAGCGTTCATGCTCTGGCGGGAGGTGAACATGACACGCGGAGCATATGGCTCGCAGCTCTGGCCAAATGCAGAGCGCTGAGCGAAGCGCGTGGAGTTGCGCAAATGACAAACACTGTACTGCATCAACAGATGCCTCGTGATCCACCAAAAGTCTTGCCATGTATGCTGACTGCGCCTCCATTCCGTCAATGGGAAGCGAGACTTGTTCCGCGATGTCGAGGAACGAACTTGGTTCCGTACCCGTTAAAGAGTGGAAACTAGTAGGCGCATCAAGTTCCTCATACAGCAATGCGAGGAAACTGGCCGACCACTCTTGACGCAACTGGCGGTAGAAGCTTCCTGGCCTCTGACCAGAGGCACCGTTGGGCTATGAGTACTTCTGTACACATGGCAAGGGCAGAGATCGACGTACAGGCGATGAGTGAAAATTTGGTATAGTTGAAGCCACACGAAACGACGTCTTTCGTTCTGTTCGTGCCGGCCAGCGTTTGTTGTAAGCCGTTTAGCGGCAAGACGTGCGATATGATGAACAGGTGCGAGATAGCGTGCGAAATCCTGCGAGCGTTCCGGTTTGCGTTCGTGTTGACCTTGTAGGCCAACGTCATTGATGTGCCTGCGAGTATACAGGCTATACACGACGTTGGAGGTCTCTAACCAGATCCAAGAGTGCTTTCCGGGCAAACCGTCAGTATAGTCATGATCGTGTGAGAAATCACTCCACCTCTTTTTGCTTCTCGTAAAGTTCAGCAAGCAGCCAGAGAACGTTCGTGACCTTGATGTACAATATCCCGCGAGGGGGAAAGGGGACTGCACGGAGAAATGGTGTAGAATCTCTCGCGGACGTCAGAGCGGACAAGGACGAGAGTAAGATCCCATAGTCGTCTCCTGTGGCACGCTGCAGTTCCTCGATGACGCGGACGGCCAGCGGCACATGCGGACCCCGGTAGTCAATGAGCATTGCGTAGGATGTCGCCGCGGGGGTCCTAGAGAATGCGCTGAGGCTCACACGCAGAAGACAGATCTTATAGTTGGAACGCGGAGCTATTCGCTCGACAGATTGCTTTCAAGCGAGACCTTACGAAAGCTGATGTGATCTAAGTTAAAGAGCAAGAGTCTCTTCGGTTCCAAGTTCGACATCTCGGTGAATACCGGTAGTCTGATGAGTTAGCGAGGCGGAAAGGATTGGATCTAGATGGGCAGCGGAGTTTGCTCTGATTGGGGCGCTTGGGGGCACAAAGAAAGAGGTTCAGAAGGCGTGTTCACCCATTGCCGTTCTCGGCACAAGACCCTGAAGAATGCTGAGAAACCTGCTAATAAGAAAATGTGGTCGGCATCTCTTCATGTGAGCACCGGTGATGAACAACCCGGTTAGCCATTCAGAAGCAGTATCTGTTTCAGAGAAGGGTCCCGTAGTTCGGCTCGCTAGCATTGTCTCGTAGTAACAACATAGCAGTGACAATGGTAGCGCGAACCGAGTCCAGGAGACTACTTCGCCTACATCCTGAGGCTTGACCATCGAACTTTGATACGTGCGAACTTGTAGTAGAGCGCATAGGGTCAACGAAGAAACTCCGGCAGTAAAGAGACATCTCTCGTCGGCTGCGAGGGTCTGAGGTGGGAGTATCACGATACTACTGTTGACGTCTCAACTGGGACGGGGTTGGAACGGGTTGGGCCCTCCCGCCGATAGTCTGCAATCCAATCAACTCCCTTTGCGTATGTATCGTCTCGCCGGAACGCTTGAGGTCTCCGACCGTGCACGAGAAACGATCTCAGGGTTGTAAGCGGACGCACGATGGACATGACACTTGAGCGTGAGATTCGGCTGAGGCACGCAGTGTGAGCGCCCTGTATTGATCATATGCGAAATCGCGTACCCATTGTCAATATACAACACGGCCTTCGTATCAGAGATCACTAGGGGTGCCCATGATTTTCGCCGGTTCTCAACATTCAACCGAAATAGTGGACGCGACGACGTGGAATCGAAAGACGCATGAGCGCGCACTACTGCCTCCTCGGCAAAGCCCGCCGCGTGTGACTCTCGGCTTGATGAGCGCCCAGTAGCTGATACAGCGTAGACTCAATTGACTGGCGGAAAAGTGAGCAATCCAGCAACCCTATTTCACGTCACATTTCCGAATGCCGTGTCGATGGCGAGGTGCTATCAGGGCTAGCGGCAGTCCGTTCTTATCGGCTTAGGCCTCGAGTGTAGACCTTCAAGTCGTTGAAAAGACAACAGGCGCGCTAATACTGCAACATGTAGATAATCACTCTTGATAGACTTCAGTAGCCTCTACCCCGGCCACGCAACCGCTCGTAGCACCTACTCTCGGTATACTGGCGAGATGAAGGGATACACCCGCCGATTAATCTTCCTTGCTGAGGTCAAGCATGACTATGTGACTTTCAGAATCCAGTGAGATTGCGACCACAATTGAACGTCACACACCCCATTCAGCCTCTAGGTCCTCGATGGTGAGCTCTGCGAGCAAGCCGGACAAGTTCCAGTGGGTCTCGGTTTGATTCCCGCGATTGATGCTGGGCATCGAAGGAGGGTGCAGGGCTGAGGGAGCAATCAGAAGATGCAAGATTGAGGCCTCTGGGAGCATTACAGGAAGACCACGCGTCAACATGCTCGACTGGAAGAGCTGTATCCTCCCCGCCGACGAGAGGGACGTCGCTCGAAGGTCTATTAGAACCATGCGCGGTAACCAAGCGGTAAGATTCCAACGATAGGGCATGAGAAACAGGCACATACTCGGATAACTGGAGCTCGATGGCAGAGGGTATATACACGTATTCGGCGAGCTGAAGCTCGGAGACGGACTCGATCAAATGCGCTTCGCGTAGCCTGTAATAAAAGTTGCGAAACTTGCGGTCAATTGACTAGAATGCGTCGTCAGTCTCTTGCAAGCCATCGAGGATGAGGACGAGACATACGGTCTTCAAGGGAGCCCTGTCGCAGTCGGGACGTTTACGGAAGAGAGGGTGTTCCACAAAAAGCATGTTTTGACGCCACGACGCCCAGGCGCTGACAGCACGATACCCGGAAAAACCGGGGTCTGCATCGCGGATGCGCGACTTGAACTCCGTTGTTAAGACAGCCTGGATAGCATTGTTCTGTGCGGGCGTTAGATAACGGGGTAGGGCAGGCATCGAAGGTAGGAGAGTTCGTACGGGCGACTCGTGTTGCCTGGTCTAGTATAAGTAGGTCTGGAGCTCAGCACGTGGCGAGGCGTTCGAACCAATGCAGCGCCCAGTCGAGTGAACAGCTTGGGCTTCTCCGGGTGCGAGAGAGCCGGACCCATGCCGTGACCTCTGATCCCTCGTTGCGATGATTGAAAGGACGTTCATCTACAGCTGCCATGGGCGATTTCGGCGTTGATTCTAAGCCTAGAGTTCTATCAGGCCCGCTAAGTAGTGCTGGCTGCGGGTCATAGAGCGGCAATTCAAATCAGACGGCCTAACTCGTCAACTTTATCAACCCCCGCGCCACCAGCTAAGTTAGTGAGCAATAACTATACGGTCAGCGGTACAAAGTCAAGAGGGCGCAAAAGCAGGTAATAGCACTAGAGCCGTAGCATATAGTGACCAAATGGAGCAATCACACCGTCTTTCTATCTACTCGGCCTATTGAACCAATAGGATAACCGGGCTATTAGCCTGTGTTATTGCCAGATCACCTAGCCAAAACGTGTGGTTAGCACATAAAGAGTAACGAATGATGCAGGAAATCTCGTGTATAATGGCGCAATGACAGGGATTTAATGAATATATACAGGCGGGAAGCACCAAAGGCAATGAAACAAGTAGTGACAACGCAAACGAGGGGTGGATAGGCGTGTATGCAGGCGGAAAGAGCAAAAAGTAGAAGAGAGTAGACGATGACAAGCGGTCGTGTGTGAGGCACGAGACGTGGCGGGGGTAACGTTCTTCTAGAGAATGACGCTGTCAAGGCTTGAGTTAGCATACTTTTCTCGCAGCGATAGTATGACTACGAACGGCGGCGTCGAAGGTCAAAGAGAGTCGAAGTAATCAGCAGCCTCCTCGGCGTTGCCGGACTCGATGGGCGCAGCAGCAGATTCATCAACCTGCGCAGTTGGTGGCGTCCAAGTGCTAAGGAGACAACAATTAGACGGCCGCGCAGTAATAATCGAATGAGTTACGCACCTTGCGGCTCGGTAGAGGTACTGAAGCGTGTATGACTTAACCTTTGGATCCCAGGTTTGGAAGTCCTCCTTGTGTTTCTTGTACATCTCCTCGATGCGGCTGGCAGTGCGTAAGATCGGCGTAACGCAGCGCATAACCAGGTACGCACTCTTTTTATGGCGTTGGTCCAGCGGAAGCGAGACGCTTTGGATCTGGGTCTTGTGCTTCCCTTTCTTCGACTTTGAGTTCGGCTAACCCGATCTTATCAGTACGCTACGACAGGAAGAAAAGCAGCATCGCACCTCAGTGCCTTCACCAAGCGTACCTGATACGATTCCTCGGCCTGGGTAGAAGCGTCAGCCATGATTCCGGAAGCCAAAGCCGGTTAGGT